GTGTAATAATTATGTGAACGGAGAGTGACCTTAAACCACAATTTCTCCTTAAGTCTTTTACCAATTACCTTAATCCAAATAAAGTTCTCAATATTCTGAATGTCTTCTGCCTGTTTACACCTGCCTCTGACTCAGTATATGAAATGTAACTACTTCGTATCCTGAACATCTTCATTAGGATACTGTAATTTAACTGTTCATTTTCTCATCCTCGTGAGAAACTGCCCTGTCAGGAAACTACTAGAAATTGTATTGCTGTTTTCTAGTAGATGTTTAATAAATACAACAAAATTAAGTGAGTCAACATGTAAATGAATGAGTTAATTGATTCATTCTATCGCTAGGTAGATATTGAGCATTTCACGGACACAAATGAAGTCTTACACCTTCTTATAAACCTACGTACTTAATAGAGAACCTTGAATCCTATAGGTGCTAGATATACTTGGGGATGATGAGTTTAAAATTACAGTATAAATACTAAGATAACATTCTATGCATTCGTATTTGGTGGAGGCAGTACATATTTGCTTAGCTTTATTATCAGTAAGATCACCCTTTATCTAGCACATAATTGGTGAAGATCATTTTCTCTCCCTTTCCTTAGAAAACATCTTGACATTTTGATTTTTTAGCTATAATTTTATGAAGTTGACTGGTGCATTTGAAATTTGGATGGCATTATTTTACAGCCTCATATTTTTAAACGTTTAAATAGTGGGATATATAATAACTTTGGCTTATCTATATAGTATACATGATGAAAAGTACATGCAGTTTAGCAAGCGAGGGGCATATTAACTCTTCTTATTATGTTGGGCAATAGGATCACAACCATAATGAATTTCTTGACTGAGACCTTGAGAGGAAGTCATTCCTTGCAATTTTACTTAGGGAAACATTGCGATGGTGGCAGGCTATATTCCAGGGAAAGACCATCTGGATCTGCTCGATCGGAGGACCATTTCACTCTTATATAAGTGAAATTCTGGAGTGAAATCTATTTGAATGGCTATAGCAGATAATATTCTGAACAGGTAACTGAGTCATTTGTGTTTTGTTTTCCACTTTGATAGTTATACTCAGCAAGTGGTTGGAAATGGAATCAAGGCCCAATCTGGAAATCCTGAAGTAAAAGTCAAAGGATTTGATCCTGTCATTAATCAGATTATTGATAAACTGAAGCATGTTAACCAGGTAAGTGCTGATCTTATATTGCTATAGTTTATGAAATAGTTGGGAGTGCTGGTGGCCTGGTGGTGACATGTTAGGCTATTATCCGAAAAGTCAGCAGTTTAAAGCCATGAGGTGCTCTGTGTGAGAAAGATGGGACTCCTGTAAAGAGGTACACTGTTTAATTTCCTGTTTATATGTTAAAATACTACCAAATGCCTGAAGTTGGATATTGGCATAACATATTTGCACCTACATCTTTTGGTAAATGTTGGTTGAGTAATTTTGATATAGAAAGCAAATGTGAAATACTATATTAATTGGTGAATATTCTAGATGTGTAAGAAGGAAGCCATATCCTCAGAATGTCAATAAATAGTACAAATTTTATTGTTAAACTTCATACCTAATAAATTAGTCTTAGATATCAGAACTGATGTGTTCATTTAGAAAAACATATTGAAACTAAAACGATGCCAGTGTTACATTCCTGGAAGCACACTAAGACTTGCTGTAAAGATATTTGCTTTGTTTGCAACAAGTCCTCTTATTCAGTTTTTGTCTCAATTTTTACATAATCTACCTAATGATTACTTATGAAACTGTTCCGCTTCATTTTTAATAACATTGTTTAATTAACAGTATATACTGCTATTTTTAATGCATGACATATAAAGCATCAATTATACAATGGATATTTATCAAGAGTATTTTATCAAAATACTCCATTAATTAGAACCAGATATTTTGGCGTATTTATGGATTATCTTCCCTTCAGTATGTATTAGTGTTTGTGACAAAAATAATTTTTCTGTTACATTAGTAACTTTACGACAACTTATGTATTCATTTCTTTTCATTTTTTTTAAGCAAAACCTGGGATGGTTAACAAATATTTCTAATGAGAATACTGAGTGTCAGAGAATATATTTAAATAGTGAAATTTTTTATTGTATATTAAAATATCCCAGAGTTATTGTCCTAAAAAATTTAAGATAATGCAGTATCGCTTCTTAGAATTCTATTTTCACTAACTCAAAAGCATGATACATAAGAAAGATATTGAGCCTGTGTTTAATATTAATATAATACATTTTTGGGTTTTATTTATACTTTGGATGCATATTTTGCTACTTCTATGGTCGCACTGTTGTGTAAACAGCACCTTCATCCTGTGTGGCAGGATAAAAACAAGTTGTGTTGAGGAGACTGTAAGAGAAAAGTGTTTTATCACCTATAGCCTCAAAACAAACAAACAAACAAACAAACAAACAAACAAACAAACAAACCCACCTGTAATGGATGAAAACAATTCCATAAAGAAGAAACCCCAAAAGTAAAGTAAGTAGATGTCTTTCACTGCTTTGGAGCCTCGTGTCCCTGTAGGATGACAACCAACCACCAGTCCAGTTAAAATTTTAGCCTAAACTTAGCAATGATCTTGTGATTTTCAGGACTATTTAGAATATTCCATAAATGCGTGAGTTTCTAAAGGCCCAATAAACAATCAATTAGGAATTATATATGGAAGCATAATAGAGTCCTAAGTATGTATTGATGTCTAAAAGTGACTATTGGTGGCACTCTCAGCTAAGCATTGTATTGCTAACCAAAAGGCCAGAGGTTCAAACTCACCCGACACCCTGCAGGGAACGAGGAAGCTATTGCCGGCCTAAAATTTTACAGCCTCTGGAACCCTATGTAGGGGCACTATGAGCCGGAATGAACTCATTGACAAGAGGTATGTGTGTTAGGTTGGTTTAGAGAAGCAAAATCATTGACATTTGTGTATGTTTGTCTATAGAAAGATATTTGTACAGAGAACTGGTTATCACAGTTGCAGAAGAAGATATGTCTAGTGCGATTCAAGCCAGGCTTCTCCTGACTCCTGTTGGGGTGAAAGCTGACCAGCAGGAAGCAGGGTAATGAATCTGGTGGGTGGGGGAAATCTGAGGTTAGCCAAAGGAATACACTGCCAGTAGCTCACTGACAGCTCCTGGGATGGGCAGGTGACAAATCAGGAAATTGATGAACAAGCTGCAAGATCCAGTGCCAGCAAAAGGTGAAGGACCAAAAGGGAAATCAACTTTGCTCAGTCTCTCCCTTGTACATAAGGCCTTGACTCCTAGAAAGTGTGATCAGGTTCTTACTTGATTGATAGTTTGGATTTCACCCTTATTTTCATCCAGAATGTCTACTCGACCTAATCACTAACCTTCACAGATCACTCCTTGTCAACTTGACATCTGCACACAATTCTTTAGCTATACATCATCTCCAAAGACACTAATCAAATTATCATTGTATCTAATATTGTATAACTAACATGCATACAACACAAACCACAGTAAACCCATTTTCATCTTATATTTTATGAGTGAACAAACCAAAAATAAATGGTATATGCATACAAATAGGAATTGCTCCTCACAATTACAGTCCTCATTTCTGCAGCTGCTATGTGACCATAGCTGGCATTTAGCACTACTTTATTCCATTACCCATTCTATTATTTCCTTTGACCTCAGCTTCACTTGGTTCTTCACTTAGTGGGGTGGGTGAACCAAGCCTTAATCCAGGGGTCTTCAAACTTTTTAAACAGGGGGCCAGTTCACTGTCCCTCAGTCCCCTTGGGGGGCTGGAGTATAGTTTTAAAAAAACTGTGAACATATTCCTATGCAGACTACACATATCTTATTTTGAAGTAAAAAAACAAACAGGGCAAAAGCACCCGGTGGGCCGGATAAATGTCCTCAGCGGGCCGCATGTGACCCACAGGCCGTAGTTTGAGGACCCTTGCAAGTCTGGGCTATTAATAGCCGTACCAGGGTTGGGATGCTATAGTTTATCATTGACTTTTATCATAGGACCTGGTAGTGCTAAGACAACCTAAGGAATCTTCTGTATTCCTGATACATTCTTCTTTATTTCCCGTATGCAATACCAATTCCATTCCTCCTTGGTAATCAGGATCAACCACATCAGTCAGTACAGAAATACCCTTGGTTGCCTGTTGAGACAGATGCATGAGAAGTCCAAAATGGCCAGAAGGCATTCTTAACTTACAGTGCAGTGTCTCCAGGTGAGAGTAGTCCTCCCTTCCGAGCTAAGGCCTGTGGACCTGCAGAGCAGTGGGAAAGGAAGCAGATGTATGCTGACTGGGTCATTCAGAGTAATGGTGAATGTTCCCCTCCCATTTCCACTCCCTTGGTTCTTGATTCAGAGAATCCTGGCTAGTGGAGAAATAGTCTCATATATTGGACAATGGTTTAGAGAAGCAGTTCTCAACCTGCGGGTCGCGACCCCTGTGTGGGTATCAAATGACCCTTTCAGAGGGTTCGTCTGATTCATAAGAGTAGCAAAATTACAGTTATAAAGTAGCCATGAAAATAATTTTATCGAAGGGGGCCACCACAACATGCGGAACTGTATCCAAAGTAGCAGCATTAGGAAGGTTGAGAACCACTGGTTTAGAGCATAGTCAGCCTCCTAACGAACCTTGTCCCAACCTTGCAAGCTGTTGTCCCTAAACTGACACCATAATTGTGTCTTTAGAAGTCCGTGGCAGCATTCTAGCAAACGAGCTGCTTCAGAATGATGGGGAATATGACCAAACTAGTGGGTTCTGTCAGCATGGCCAACCGCCACGCTTCATTGGCTGTGGAGCGCGTCCGTTGATCTGTGGCAGTACTGTGAAGCATACCTTGTCTGTGGAGGAGGCATTCTGGAAGTTCACAAATGTTAGTTTTGGCAGAAGTACCTCATGCAGGGAAAACAAATCCCTATCCTAAGTCATTGTCTATTACAGGGGGAACAAAATGATACCCTTTCCATGAAGAAAATGGTCCTATGTCACAGCCCGCCACCAGGGAATGGTCCCGTACCTTGAACTCAGGGTTGTTCTCTGCTGCTGGTCGAGCAGTACTCAGCGGTGACAGTGGCCAGGTCGCCCTTGATGAGTAGAAATCCAACTTGCTGAGCTCATGCATAACCTCCATAGCCGCCATATGCCCCCTTTGTCATTTGCCTGTTGGGCAAATGCAGGAATGGCTGCAGAAGTGGATGCCTGCTTTGCACCGAATGTGTCATCCTGTCCACTTGATTGTTAAAATTGCCCTCTGCTCATCCTTTGGCGAGCATTCATGAGTCAGAAATCGCTTCCCTTGTTTGGGCCATGCGGAGCGGAGTAGCTACATGCCTCTTCCAGACACCTCATTGTCACCGATTTTCCAATCGTGGTCCTTCCAGGTTCCTGACCATGCAGCTGAGCCATTGGCTACAACCCGTGACTTGGTATACATTAGCTCATTTGGCCATTTCTCCTTCCAGGCAAACAAACAAGCAGGTAGACCACTTGAGGTTCTACGCATTGGGAGAATTTGTTTTCAATGCTGTCCTTCAGGGAGGTCCCAGAAAAGGGCTGCTCCCTGCTTTCAAGCGGCACCTGCATATCAGGCAGAATTTTCAGTAAGCTAAGCATGAGTTTCCAGTTCCTCAATGAACTGATCAGAAGGAAATCCTATGAGGCCATACATGCAGACAAGGGTAAAGATTATCCTGGGACAGGAGTGGAGACCGTCAGCATTTGGTCTTCTCCTTGCAGCTTGCTTATACCTTCAGGCCCTTCTGTAGCCTGATCTCATATATATCACCTCTATTTAATGATAGAGTGCTGCTATAAATGTCCAACTTTATGACTCTTGGAGACAGACAAGACCATTTAATGATGGGTAGCTCAGTCTACACGGTGACTTGGTCCTCCACCGAGGAAGGCTCTGCTCTGTGATTTGACAGTAGGTGACTGCCAAGGGGTCCAAACTGTGTCTCAGCCCCAGGCACTTCAAGCATCACTGGATCAGTTAGATCACGGGCCCCCAGTGGAAGAGTGTCTTACAAGGTAGCCTGAACCTGTTGCAGAGCCTTCCCGTGTTCTGGATCCCGCTAGAAACTGGTATCTCTTTTGAGTCACTTGATATGTAGGCCAGACTAACACATCCAAACGAGGGATATGTTGCCTCCAAAAT